CGCTCCGCTCCCCTTTTCCTTCCCTAGGGCGTCCCCTCCCCCGGCCCCGGCTCCGCCCGCGCCCCAGCACGCCCCCTTCTCCCTGGGCCGCCTTGGGGCGCCTCCGCCCAGCGGCACAGCCTCTCCCGGCTGGGGGCTCCCACCCTTCTGTCCCCTGCAGCGCCCGCTTCCTGGACCGGAGACCAAGAGCCTCTTACTTGGCTTCAGCTTGTCCAGCCTGAGGCCAGTCTTCAGAAGAGGAGACGAGCGTTGGGTGCTGGTGAAATCAGGCTTTGCTCCTAGCGGCTGCGTGGTGGTGGGCTAGTCACTGCTCCTCACCGGGCCTTGTTGTCTTCCTTGCGATAAAATAGGTACAGTCCTGCGTGCATCTTTCACAGGGTGATGGTTAGGGTCAGATGAGAACTTAGAATCCAAAGTATTAAAGCCAAACGGTCACTGGAGAAATCTGATTCTAACACCAGTTTGGGGAAGGGAATGGCCCAGGCTCACCAAGGAAGTTAGTGGCAGAGCTTAGAATCCACGACACCATTCTCTCTCCTTCACCCCAACTGATGTCTCCTCCCTCCAAGTCTCAACCGTTCTTCCATGTCCAGACAACTAGTGTCCAGCCACACACCTCACTAGTCCCTGTTCCAGAACACCCTTCATTTTCTGGCCACCAGGCTCACTGAAACTACTGCCTCCTTGCTGGTAACTCTGCAGGCTTCAGAAAAGAGAAGCAGCCAGGGACAGCTGGGAAATGGCCAGAGGGCTAAGGGCAGGGGAGTGGACAGTGGCTGGGAACAGTCTCTCTGGGACTCTGTGGGGAATCCTTATCAGATCCTCCTTTATCAGCCTGTGGCCTTGGAATAATTAATAACAAACAGGCCAGCTCTTATGCCTTGCAAACAAAGATCTGTTCCAGGACATCCGAGGCACATACCCTCAATCACAGAATCGCAGATTACACCTAGAAAGTGCTATCATTTTAGAAAGACCTACCACATGGAGGGAATGTTGTACAAAACTGATAATCTTCATCAAAACATGTTACTTCCGTGTTATTTCTGTGGGTGTGTATTTTGACCCAGCTACAACTTTTTCTCACTCTGGAAATCACCCCTCAGGGAAGTCATCCTGAGCCTGGGCAAGGTCTCTAATTTAATTCTGCCTCAAACTCACCTTGGAGCTCATTTTAGGAAAGTAGACTTTGGGGTTCCACTCCAGAGGCTCTGATTCAGGAGATCTGAAATGCAGCCCAGAAATTAGCATTAAAAAAAATTTTTTTTTTTAAAAGATGCCCGAACGATTCTGATGCAAGTGGTTTTTGAGAACAGCCTTGAGGAAACAGCCCTGGCTTAGTTAGAGCTACTTCCCACATCCTGCTCAGGGCCTTCAATTTACTCTATAGGACTGTTTATTACAGTTATCAAAAATAACTATTTGTCCATCTCGTCTACTAGGTTGTGAATTCTTTGAAGATAGGGATTATCTCTTGTTCTAATAAAATTTTAGAATCATAGTCTTAGACTCACACATCTTAGAGTTGTAGATTATTTAGTGGTAGAACCTAGGTTGGAAGGACTCTTGGAGTTATCTAGTCAAATCCTTTCCTTAAGCATCACCTATATTTCATTTTGACACTAAATTGTCCAGTTTCTTTTGCACACCTCTAGCAGCAACAAGAAACTCATTGCCTCTGAGGCAGCCAAGGCTCTGATTGTTAGGATGTTCTCACATTTTGACAAAAACTGCCTCTTACTGACTTCTGCCTTTCGGTTCTTGTGCCTGTTGGAGACAAAGCATATGCCTAATCTTTGTTCACTTTTCCAGTTCTTCAGAAACTTAAGGTTTCCTCCTCCACTTCCCCTTCTCTGGAGTGAGGGTGGTGCAGGAACCCTGTTAGGGAAGGCAGCTGGCCAAGGGGCCATTGGAAAGTGGTAGCTTCTGTTGTTATTAGCTGAGAAAAGGAAGGGTAAAATAGAACTACTGGCATGGCTCAGCAGTTGAGCATCGACCTAGGATCCAGGAGATCTCGGTTCAATTCCTGGTCAGGGCACATGCCCAGGTTCCCGGGTTGCAGGCTCGATCCCCAGTAGGGGGTGTACAGGAGGCAGCTGATCAATGATTCTCTCATCATTGATGTTCCTCTCCCTGCCTCTCTCTGAAATCAATAAAGACATATTAAAAAAAAAAAAAATTTCTGTCCTGGGGAGATCATTGTCTGAGAAGAACCTTCAGGGAACTCTCTCACCCAGATAAACTCAGGACAAGAGCCTGACTTTAGGATAAGGAGGGAGGTGAGGGGGCTGCTAACTGAAGGGGTCAGGGGAAGAGTCACCTAGAGATACAACCTCTAGAAGCCACCTAGAGATACAACCTCTAGAAGCCTTTGCTTTAGTGCCGCCTTCTTGGTGCAGCCTTCCCCAACCAGCATGTTTACAAATGCGAATCCCTCCCTTTTCTGTCCTCCTTGCCTTGTTATTCAGTAACACCCAACATCATTTTATATATTTAACTTCTTTAAAAATCTTTTGCTGTTGTTGCTCTTGCTGCATCCCTCAGCTGAAGCTCACAGCTCCTGTCTGTCTGTCCAATCTCAGTGTCCTCGGCTCTCCCGAGTTCTGGATTCCTATAGCCACCCTCTGTTCTCTCCCTTTGAGGTCTGGGGAGGTAAAAATGCCCAATGTTTCTAGCCCCAGGGCACTTCACCACCTCTTCTGGTTGCCCTATTTCCTGCCCACTCTTTGAATGGAGACTCCTCAAATTACTGCCATGAGATGGCCATCTGCTTCCTATTAGACCTGGCTGGTACAGAGGCTCACTCTCCTATAGCCCCTTGCTCTTCCCTTGACCACGACACTTACCATTCTGTATTATAATTGTCTATTCTATCTGTTGACTCCACACCTAGAACATAAGCTCCTTGAGGGCCTTAAGCCAACACTAAGCCAACACAAAGGAAACCTTACTGAGAATCTGTCGAGTGAATGAATGTCATGAAAGAAAAGATCACTAGGTATTACATTATCAGGGAAAGCTTCCAAGAAGAGATAGACCTGAGAAAGCCCGAAAGGATAACAGGATGCCTTTTCAGCCTCTA